CCACGCTTTTGTAGAAATTTTGGAGGTTTCGGGGCCTGGTGTTGAAAAGGCTTGAGATTTTAGGAGATACATCCCAGGGTCATATAATGCCATTTAGAACCATACATGATCATTATATGTTGTCATAAATGTTCGTGGTAGGCATGAATTAATGAAATCGGTGTAGATTGTAAATCAGTAAATTGTCCGTTTGAAGGCAAATTGGATGGTTCCACCCACTGAATTGGACTCACAGAGGGTATTAGGGACCATGGTAAACATTTCGACAATTTATATTTCAGGGCGAAAAAAATTTAAAAAATTCCAAAATTGAAGGCTTGAGATTTTAGAAGTACATCTTGGGGTCATATAATGTCGTTTAGAACCATATATGATCATTATATGTTGTCATAAATGTTCATGGTAGGCATAAATTAATGAAATCGGTGCAGATTGTAAATCGGTAAATTGTTCGTTTAAAAACAATTGGATGGTTCTACCCACCCAATTTGACTCCTAGAGATTATTAGGGATCATGGTAAATATTTCGGCAATTTTTATTTCCAGGAAAAAAAAGACAAAAAATTTGAAAATTGAAGGCTAATCTCTACGCTTTTTGAGAAATTTTGGAGGTTTCGGAGTCCGGTGTTGAAAAGGCTTGAGATTTTAGGAGATACATCTCGGGGTCGTATAATGTCATTTAGAACCATATATGATCATTATATGTTGTCATAAATGTGCGTGGAAGCCTTAAATTAATGAAATCGATGCAGATTGTAAATCGGTAAATTGGCCGTTTAAAGACAAATTGGATGGTTCTACCCACCAAATTTGACTCCCAGAAGATATCAGGGACTTTGGTAAACATTTCGGAATTTTTTATTTTCGGGCGATGAAAAGACAAAAAAATTACAAAATTGAAGGCTTATTGTCCACGCTTTTTGAGAAATTTGGGATGTTTCGAGGCCTAGTGTTGTAAAGATTTGAAATTTTAGGTGATAAATCTCGGGGTCATATAATGCCGTTTGGAACCATATATGATCATTATTTGTTGTCATAAATGTTCGTGGTAAGCTTGAGTTAATGAAATCGGTGCAAGTTGTAAACCGATAAATTGGTCGTTTAAAGGCAAATTGGATGGTTCCACCCACCCAATTGTACTCTCGGAGGGTATTTGAGAGCGTGGTAAAAATTTTGGCAATTTTTAATTTCGGGCGAAATAAGGTCAAAAAGTTCCAAATTTGAAGGCTAATTATCCACCCTTTTTGATAAATTTTAGAGGTTTCGGGGCCTGGTTTCGAAAAGGCTTGAGATGTTAGGGGATACATCTCAGGGTCATATAATGTCGTTTGGAACCATATATGATCATTATATATTGTCATAAATGTTCTTAATAGGCTTAAGTTAGAGAAATCAGTGAAGATTGTAAATCGGTAAATTGGATGGTTCCATCCACCCAATTGGACTCCTAGAGGGTGTTAGGGACCATGGTAAACATTTGGTAATTTTTATTTCCGGGCGAAAAAAAGTCAAAAAATTCCAAAATTGAAGGCTAATATCCACGATTTTTGCGAAATTTTGGAGGTTTTGGGTAGAGCTTTCAATTCGAGTAAACGGGTCGGGTTTAGGTCGGTAAGAGTGGGTCGGGTCAACTCAGGCCGGTTCAAATCGGATTAATTCCATAACCTATGCGGGTCGGGTTTGGGTTGGGTCATGCTTGAGTCGGGTCACGTCGGTCATACTTCTTATCAGATTTGGGTAGGTGAACCATAGGTCAGGTTTAATTCGGGTTTTCACGGGTTAAAACAAGTTAGATAATTCTTGGGTTCGAGTCGGATTCGGTTCAAGTCAATAATTTGCGGGTTAGAATCAGGTTGGATCGGGTTTGAGTCGGGTTCGGTTCAAGTCATTAATTTGCGGGTAATAATCAGGTCGGGTCATTTTAAAGTCGGTTCATTCTCGGGTTCGATTAAAGTCAATAATTTGCGGGTTATAATCAGTTTGGTTCATTTCCAAGTTGGTTCATTCTCGGATTCAAATCGGGTTATGTTCAAGTCTATAATTTGTAGGTTACAATCAGGCCGGGTCATTTCCAAGTCAGGTCATATTCGGGTTCAACTAACTATAAATTGATAATTATCATTTTTATCAAGATAATTATTTCCTTTGACTATAATATATATGGCAATATACTAGGGAACTATAGTCTATAATTTAGGAAGATAATTATCTCCTTTGACCATACAACAAATATATATTATATTTAACTCTTAAATTTGAGGATGATGCTCCTTTCTTTTGCTGGCCTGGACCGACTTGGTCTCCCAAGACAAAATGGTTTGATCAACAATAATAAGGTGGTCTAAATTGCATTTAAGGTGATTTGAAATCGGGTCAGGAACAATTTGGATTGAATTTAGGTCGGGTCGATAACAAGTCGTGTTGATTTCGAGTCAGGTTATTAACAGATCGGGTTTAATTTTTGGGTTGGGTTAGTAATAGGTTTGGTAAAATTTGGGTCGGGTCAATAACAAGTCGGGTTGAATTTGGGTCAGGTCAATAACAAGTCGGGTTGATTTCGGGTCGGGTTTGTAATAGGTTGGGTTTAATTCGGGTCAGGTTAGGAACGGGTCGGGTTGAATTCAGGTCAGGTTAATAACAAGTCGGGTTAAATTCGGGTTTTGACGGGTTAAAACGGGTTTGGGTCAATTTCGGTTCAAGTCGGGTTCGGTTCAGGTCAATAATTTACGGGTTACATTTGGGTTGGGTTATCTCCAGGTCAGTTCATGTTCGGGTTCGGATCTCACATACTCGGTTCTACTCGGGTTTAGGGTTGATTTCAGGTCGGGTTTGGGTCACCATTTTTCGGGTTTAGATGGGCGGGTTAACAATCGGGTTTGAGTCGGTATTTCGGGTCGGGTCAACTTTTGACAGCTCTATTCTTTAGTATGTATTATGGGGTTTAATGAGGTTTCTTTCCGTTGATTAAGGTAAATTAAGATCAATTCTATTGACAAGTCATAAGATTTTCAAACTAATCCAATGCATAATGAACTTAATCGAGATAAACTTGGTTCAATGTCATGATCTATTGAAGTTTGGTAAAAATGATAATCGTTCCAAGAGTTGTATCATTGAATTACTTAAAACATCTAACTAACAAAAAAAATACATGATGTAGGTGTAAACATCTATCTAGAAGATAACCAGAAACTAGTTCCTGAAATATTAATACAATTACAAAAAGACATTTATTCCTCTCTTAGCTTGATCTTGTTATTTCCCAATATCTTCAAGGTGTGCAGCTAAATTTGCAAGTGTCATGACCTGGATGTCAATAGAAAAACAAATTAAATTATTAAGAGTGTACATACTAGCTAGCTTACTACGAGCATAAGAAAAAACAATTGGGGTGGGTTAATTAAAAGACGTACTAGGGTCAGTGTCAACCAAAATAGCAGCGCCAAAGATGTCACACTTGGCCCCGGGAGCATGCTTAACAATCTGCCAATAGTCGTTGAAGGCGGCGGATGCAACAGCTCTTAGATCATTTGGTTTATAACAGGGTTGTCCTGGTTGTATTCTGTTACATGCTTCTTTTGCATTCACGCATACCCAGTCTAGTGATTTTTGTATCAATTCATCTGATGCTTCATGATCTGCTATGCACCAATTTCTGCATTGGCTGTAACCCCCTATACAATATTTATTACAACGATATTAGTATACATTTATAATAAGTTATATGACATTCCTAGTACTACTTTGTAATAACAATGTTATATTAACATATTCATATTTATTTTTCTTACCTGATATTTGTGACAAAAGAACCAACAAAAAGCAAGCAACAAAAACACAACAGCAAGGAGTCTTCATCTTTGAAAATTGGGTTCGTTGTACAAGCTAATAGTACGTGTATGTATTACGCTCTGATCTATTATATACAGAGTACTTCACAAACTATATGGCATTGTATCTTCAAATTTAGAAATTAATCATGTGATTATTTCATTCTTAACAATAATGTTAATACTTAATGGGGTTGGGTACAATCAAGCTTAATTTAGTACTTACAGATATTATACTCCATATTGCGAGTATATGAAGGAAATAAACAATAATTTCATGATCTTCAATCAATTCATATCATCCTAATTATTCTTATTAATTGATATTCTATCCTTAATGCAGGTCTAGTCATAATATGATTTAGTTTCCTACCACGTAATAATATTTGGAAAAAATATGCTATATCTTGTAATAGAGGGATAATGAAGAATTAATTATATTCCAAATATTTTTATTATACATACTTATTTTTAAGCATGAAAATATGCTTCATGCAATGTTATCTTAAAACTTCACCTCATTTTTGCTGAATTGAAAATAATTTTAATCAATTAAAATTATTTCTTTGATTAAAATTTATTTTCTACTGATTCCTTGTTATATTGTAGTCCCAGTTAATCAATTTGATGAACAAAATTTGTTTATCAAATGGAAAAATTGTAAATAAATCAATAATATTATTGATTTATTTACAATTTTGCCATTTGATAAACAAATTTTGTTCATCAAATTGATTAACTGGTATTTTATGTTAATAAAGTTAGCTATTTAAAACATTATTTTACTGAAAAAATTTAAGCAATAAATACCCTTTGGTGCATCATGCACCATGGGCGGACTTGTAGCACGCAACACTTAATGGCAATATCTGATATTGATAGAGAATATCCATAGAATATTCTCATCCTAGGTTTAGGATATATTTTGTATAAGATTATCTTTGATATCTGTACATATCTTATAGTTACACTTAAAGGAGTTTATATTATCTGACATGGTATCACAGCTTAGGTTAGATCTTGGGATCATATACAAAAATTATCACCCTGCCGGTGGGTTAGAAAATTAAACCCACCGGCGGGATATACAAAGTTTTTTATGCTTCCGCAAACACACATATAGATTTTTTTTTTCTTTTCTCAAAGTTTTTTTTAGGATCTTTATGTAACCTTGCGCCTCCTACCAACAGTAGCAATCGCGAAAGCCTCCTCCATCGTTGTTGGCAATCGCATACACTACCGCCTCCCCCTACTGGCAGTAACCACATCTGCCAACCTACTCCATGTGCCACACTCTATTTCCACCTCCCCATGACCAACAATGATTCTTACATTGCCTCACTGGTTTATTTTTTCCTTACACATAATCACATAGATTTTGTTTTGGTGGTGGTATATCACAATAAGGTCAACTTTTGCACATCTCTTTTGCTATCAAGTTAGCTCCTTTTATTGTTGCAGCACTTGGAATCTTTGTGGAGTATTAATTCTTGCTATCTGGTTTCTCTTTTGAGAATTGATTAATTTCAAGCGGTGGGATTTAATCTTTTCTTGCGCAATTTTATTTGTTTTTCTTCAACTGTGATTTCACGTAGTAGTGTAGTGTCTTCTCCCCGATGATGGTTTGATCCCTTAACTTATTCTTCTCTGGATCTGCAACTTGGCCCAAGTATATGCGTGACTCTTCTCCTTCGGCCTAAAAGCGCATATCTCTATTATACGTAGGTCGTGGTTGTTGCTTCTCATCGTCATCACCAACACATGCCTACTACTTCTCTTTTGATCATGGGTTACTATACTATCCTTACCATTCGATGCGTGATTCAGATCCAGCCTGAGCATCCGATTTTCTCCCGCTCTGACTGCGGGGGTGTGATAGAGAATATCCATAGAATATTCTCATCCTAGGTTTAGGATATATTTTATATAAGATTATCTTTGATATCTGTACATATCTTATAGTTACCTAATATGATTAAGTTTCTCATTGTAACCCTATAAATATTGATCAATGGAAATCACTCTAATCAAGGAGTTTATATTATCTAACAGATATAAATATATTCCAATTTCTTATTGATAAGCTGCAAATTGATGATCTCTACAATTCAAGAATACAATAGTATCATTTAATTTGTGGCCACGCATCCACAAAAAGATGATGAATTTGCCTGAGGATAGGATTGCAACTCCAGACAAGACATTGATAGAATCTTCAAAGAAGTCGATACTTGTTTCAAGCTTTGATATGTGCTTTACTTCAATGGGAATAATCGTACTTGCATCCTCCATGGCCTGTTCAAACATAGAGAACAAACACACAACAATCATGAAATTTGTTAGTAATATAAAGAGCTTTTAATTTTAATGTTGGATCATCGATCATTACACATTGATGCTTGCGAGTTGTGATGTATAAGTAAACATTGGTTAATTTAAATTTTAATTAGAGTATGGAGCTTACTAGGATCAACCCCGGTTATCAAGGCAGCTGATTTGAAGTAGCAGGTGCCACCCTTGTTCTTGTACTTCTGAAAGTAGCTATTGAAGGCAAATGATGCGTGGTCTTTGACCGTGTTTGGCAAATAACAAGGCTGATCTTTCTGAATCTTACTGCAGTCTGCTCCTCCTTTCCCACACGCCCAATCAAGTGCACTCTGCAGCTCAGCATCCGACGCCTGCTCGTCTGCAATGCACCATTCTTCCAGTTGTGCTTCTACCCGCAATACTGATCCACATCATACATATATAATGAGTACGTTTAGTAAATAACCAATGTAAGTAACACAAACTTGAAGAGGTTTGCATCAGTTACACAGTACATATCATATATTTCAACTGTCACACATATCAAGTGTTAAAAATAAGACGGTATAGTGGCAATATGTAATGTAATAATGTTATGATTTTATACCAGAAATGAGTGAGATCGATATCAATACAATCACAGCAAGCAAATTTCTCTGTCGCAGCAACATAATTTTCGGAACTGGCTGAAGGAGCATGAGCATTAATCTGCAGCTGTAAAATGAAAGTACAAGTTAAGCACATTCACATATATTGAGCTGCTTATATATATATTTTATGATCAGGGGAACATAAAAGACAAAGCCATATGAAATATACTTTTCGTACACCTTGGATCTAGCATCACTGTAAACTCGAGATGCCCATAATTAGCGTCTTCACTAATACAGTACTGATTATCATGGAGTTAATTATAGTTTTCATTATGTGATCACATTAATGGATTTTAACTCACCTCCACTAAATCTTGTCATACTTGTGTTAGCTTGATTGAAAATCCCTTTTAATTAGGCCAAGTCAAATTCCATATTCGTTAGTATTATGGGCTTTAATAAGGATTTTAAAGCATTTGTATCAGACAAAACACAAACACCTCTGTTAATAAACAGAGCTATTAGCCCTATTGCCTATGAGTAGTTTATTAGTATGTGTGTAGTTCTTTGATTAAATAAATGAATAATTAGAAGAGTAAAATGGAAGGGAAATTAAGTTCATTAATTTGCTTGGATTCTACGTTTATAGTAGGTTCCTTCCACTAACTAGTTTGCAGAAACAAAAGGTACAATCTGATGACTTCGATGATGAGTAAGAGCATTGAAGATTCTCTAGCTAGCAAACCTATAATTAGATATTAGGTCACGTTTTCTACCTTCTATTGCGCTCTCGAGATTGTAAGGCCGAGGATATAATGTTATTTGAAATTATATATGACCATTTGCCAGTCACATGCATAAAGTCTTTTGGTAACCTTGAGTTAATGAAGGGAAGCATAAGTTGTATGTAAACAACTAAATTTGAAATTTAAATGCAAGTTCAAAGTCCAAACCATCCAAGTGGCCTTTCGAAATGTTGTGGACTCTATGCTGGGAAGTACCTCAACATGTTTCATTTCTATGTCTTGTGTTATATAATTAATATGCTTTTGAAACCAATTTTGAGAAATTTTTTTAAGATCGAAGTGAATGCACACTGTGTGGGGTGCCCCTGCTTTGGAACCGTTACAAGCTTACAAATAAGCAGGTGTATAAAGTTCTAAGAATGAATTTGGCTATTTTATAATTATGTTGCATTGATAGTAAAGAGCTCTATGAAGTGGTTCCATCAACTTGACATTCTAGATTCTTATTAAGATGTCTAATATTGAATCCTTCATCTTCAATTCTTCATTAGCGTTGTTGATTATTCCCAAATTCATTACTTACTATCACATTTTTATTATACGTTGATTTTATTATCATATACGAAGTACAAATTAATAAATGTACTAGGGGAGACCCTCCATATAACAATTTTTTTTTTATGCATGTTTTGGTTTGTTGAAAAACACGTACTACCTTAATAATGTTAATTATAGTAGTATAGTAGGAGACGACATGGCCTCGTCATAATAATGGAGAACATATTTTCTACCAAAATGGAAAAGAAAAAAAAGAAAATGAAAAGGAACATAAGTATGGTCATGAAAGTACAAGTATGTGATCCAAGAAGATTACCGCAAAAGCTCAACAGCTACAACACTCACATCACCTAATTATGGTATGATTACATACATATTTTGATGATAATACGAATCTAAGCTTCATGCTTAATAACAAAATTTATCGTGGCCTTTCTTTTCAAGGGAATGATTAGGTGAACTAGGATTATCAAAATCCTATTAGTCACATGCATTATTAGTCAACCTAATCACTAATCATCAAGAATATATGATTTATTGACTACATACACCATTACACCTTCCATATACCAAACAATCACAACCTAAATCGTTGAAAACGGAGAAAAACTTGCTATATATTGCTCTTTTTGATGAAAATTAAGATTAATTGGTAATTAAATTAGTTTGTGAATAATTATAACTCTACAAATTAAAAATTACCTACTAATCTAACTTCCATTTAATCCATTTATCATAAAATAAAATTAAAGTATGTAGCTTAATTAGTAGCTATATTAATATTTGTACTCGATAACTTAACTATACCACTTAGGACATATTCACAATTACTGAACTGAATTGAATTGATTGGACTTGAAGTGAACTGAAATTAAGCTGAAATGAACATACCCTTAAGTGCAAATTTTATTTTTTTGGTCTTCTATCCCTTAATAATACCACTATGTGCTTATGTGTCCCTCAAATACCTCAATTAGCTCAATATTACCGAGTGCCACCAGCCAAGCATTGCAAACTCGATATGATATCTACACATTAAATAATCCAATAAAAAAACCATACAAGTATTTCTTTTCATTTTTATTTACAATTTCGTAAATCATGTCCTCTCTTTTATAAGACATAAGAGTTGTCAGATTATTGTACGAGAAATATAGTACCATTAACGTTAAGCTAGAAATTATAGAGTAACAAGACTACCAACTTAATAAACTAAGCCTACATATAACTGTTAAACTAGTAGAAAATAATATTATAATTACATATACTTCGTGTAACAGTTATAAATTAATAATAAGTTATATATGGACTTTGAGTTACTATGCTATCATAAACTGATTGATCGTTTGAGTAAGTGCATTGGAATTGATTGTATTAGAGCTTATATGTTATCATATACGAACTACTACATATGTTTTAGTATAATATAAGTACTAAAATTAAATATATCTGGATATGGTTACCAATTAAATGAAAGCAAACCATGCAATTGACAACATATTAGTTTCATGGTACGTAGTACTTGGTATATTATAATAATCTTACTAACTTTACTAGTTAATATTACATCAAAGTACGTCCGATCTGGAGTACAGAAAAGAAACAAAGAAAGACGTGAACTAATTAATTAATTAATTAATTTACTTAATCAAAATTAGCTCACAGATGAAGAGTAGTATCAACATCCGAAACATGAGAATCCTCAAATTTATTATAAGCACTAGATACACATGAAGAAGGCCTAGTACTCATCGTCGAAAGCGGGGCTCGTCGTAAATCCTCAGCAGCAGCAGTGGCAGTAGCGTTGGTGTATGACATGGCCGGAGGCCAAAGAGAGAGGGATATCATCTCATTGACATTATTATTATGAGATAAAACCGACGATGACGATGACAATGACGACGATGTTGATGATGAATAATAGCATGTAGAAGGCTTACGGTTGCTATGATAATAATTTGGTGGAAGAAATATTTGAACTTCATCATCATTAACATCAACAACATCACCATCATTATTATTAGTGGTTGTGTTATTATTATTAATTGGATAATTATCAGAAAACATAGTAAGAAGCTCTTTTTTCTCTCTCATTTCTTTCACTCTTTGAAGTTGCTTGAATCTTTCTTGTAAAAGAGCTATTGAGGATTGAATCACACCGTGTTCCGCTTGATTCTGAGCACTCATCATTTTTACTAATGGTTTTTTAAATGGGAAGAACTTTTAGGAACGCTAATAAAAGAAACAAAAAGATCGAACTAATTAAAGGACCGAAGGAGTAATATTTATTTTGATTGCGGAAAGGTGCAACAAAAGTTTTGAGTAGTAATTGGAACAATGAGAATTGTTGAGAGAGAGTGTGCAAGAATAATTGTTTTGAGAGGTGATGATGAAGAGAAAGGGGTATATATATAGTAGTGATAATTAACCATACTATTAAAAAAGAATATGTAGCAATAACAATAATAATAGTATAAGTAATGTTGTACGTTTTGGGATTTTAAAAAATAAAAATATTTAGGTTTTCAAAAATCATTCTGAAAAATGATTTGATATTGGGGTTTTATGAAAAGAAGAGAATGAAAGAAAGGAGGGAGAATCGGGGGATAAGTAGGAAAAACCCAACAAGAAAAATAGTGGAAATTGAAGAAAAAAAAATTAAAAAGGGGGTGGCCAAATATTTAGGAGGCTTTGGTCTTTACAAAAGAAAACAAGAAAGGTTAAAATTTATAATATAATACTAAAAAGTAGTACTTGTAAAGTAGAAAATGTCCAAATTACTAAAATACAAAAGAATGTTAGAAACTAGCATTTGGAAGGGTATGTTTGGAGGAATAATGGTTTTTATGAATCTAAACTCTTTACTAACATCCGAATTCCCCGCCCTTTTTTCTTTTTGATTATTATTAATTTTTGCATATTATTTTCACTTTACTTTATCTTCTTAAAATAAAAAGATATTGGGTGTGAAATGTGAATTTGCGCCCTTTTTCTTAGGGGTAACTTTATTTCATTTTTATTTATTTTTTTGATCGAGTGGTTTCATACTTTCATCATTCTTTTTGAGGATCTTTAGGGAAAAGGTGTGAGTGCATCCATCTTTTAATAAGTTTTACTTTTTAATAACACTAATAATAAGAATAAGAATAACATAAATCCTTATATTATGGTCAGATTAGTCATCATATAATTACTTAGTTAGTGTTATAAGAATAGTTCGGTGAAGGTCGGATTGCTTCGTCAGTGTTATAAGAGTTACTTTGTTCTTTTATAAACAACCACATTGTGTAGTCAGTCATAATAGTAATAATAAATAATAATTGAACTTTTATTTTAAAATGAATAAATAGTGATTGCAACTAGAGGTGTTAAAAACTGACCCAATTAACTCAGTCAAAAAACGACGCAAACAAAATCTAAATCGGATTTTAACTTGTATGGACACAATAACTATTGGTCTAGTACTAAAATTTGAAATAGACTTGACCCGACTTCATTAAAACGGCTTAATTACTCGATCTAATAACACCTCTAATTATTACATTAAAAAGCCAAAATCATAATTTTAAAAGATGAATAAAGTAGTAAAAGGTTTTGATGTTTGAATAAAGATTGTCTAAAGTTCAATAAAAAAAAAAAAAAAAAAAGAAAGCTTTAAGAGAAGAATGAAGTAATAATAAAAGGCTCAATCTCATCAAAATCAAAGCAAGTATGGTTTTCTAGATATACCATCATGGTCGTCTAATATAATTTGAATGGAACCCCCTAGTTGATTGCCCATGCCCTATTGAGATATTATACATAATTTTCTTTCTTTTTAATTAGATATGATTTTATGGCTAAAGTTTA